AACCTACGTTGTGCAATACATGATGCACAATCTGTGTGCAACCTATGTGGTGCACTCTACGTGACGGGTGCAATCTATGTGGTGCAATGCACCAGTGCTCGCAGACCTATTACCCACAAGCCAGGCATTGTGGCGGGATGGGCCGAAGGCCACTATGAAATTCGCTGGCCCAACGGGCCAGAGGCGTGCTAAGATCTCCGGTAACTGCTCAACAATATTTCTAGTTCGCGCGCGCGGGGCGGGCCCTGGGGGTCCCCGGACGGGAAGTACCCCGGCAAGGTCCCGGCAGACTCCCGGCAAGGTCCCGGCAGACTCCCTTCGTAGCCCAGGAGGGCTCCAAACGGTCCAAGAGAGGCCCGAGAAGCCCTCCAGACGGTCCAAGAGAGCCGGGAGACGCCGAAATATCACTCCCAAACGCCTGCGATGGCCTCAAGACGGCCCAACAGGCCTTCAAGACGCCCCAAGAGGTCCCTAAGCGGCGCCCCAAGAGGGCTCCCACTAGCAAAAATCGTCCCATTCCCTTAGGAAAACGTGCATTTTTAACATATCCGCCTCTTCGTCTTTCACACCTTTCAAGGCGGTCCAAGAGGCCCCCAAGATCACCCCAAGACGGCCCGAGAGACCCTCAAGACCGCTCAAAGACGGCCCAAGAGCGCTCCCAGAAGGCCCAAGAAACCCTCAAGAACTCTTTTTCGGAGCCCAGGAGGGCTCCAAATCGGTCCAAGAGGGGCCCGAGAAGCCCTCCAGACGGTCCAAGAGAGCCGGGAGACGCCGAAATATCACCCCCAAGCGCCTACGATGGCCTCAAGACGGCCCAACAGGCCTTCAAATGCCCCAAGAGGTCCCTAAGCGGCGTCCCAAGAGGGCTCCCACTAGCAAAAATCGTCCCATTCCCCTAGGAAAGCGTGCATTTTTAACATATCCGCCTCTTCGTCTCTCACACCTTTCAAGGCGGTCCAAGAGGCCCCCAAGATCACCCCAAGACGGCCCGAGAGACCCTCAAGACCGCTCAAAGACGGCCCAAGAGCGCTCCAAGAAGGCCCAAGAAACCCTCAAGACGGTACAAGAGGCCCCAAGACGGCCCCATGATTGAGGTCCACAGGGGCAACCTGAAAGGAAATTTTGAGCCTCCCGCCCAAACACGCTCCCGAAATGCCCCTACAAGCCCCCAAGTAGCCCCACGAAGCCCCCAAGAGAGCCCCAAGAGGCCCCCAACAGGCCGCAAGAAAGCCCCAAGAGGCCCCCAAGAGACCCCCAGGAAGCTCCCAGGAGGCCCCCAAGAGGCCAGGCAGACCCCCCCAAGAGACCACCAAGAGAGCCCACCCAGAGCCATCCACGAGGCTTCCCAAAGTTCCCAAGAAGCTCCCACGAAGCTTCCAAGGGCTCCCAAGACCTCCCAAGACCCCGCGATGGCACAATACGGGCCGACGGAATGAGCGAAGCGATTCAATAAACAATGGGGCCGAATCACATGTAAGTTGCACTATTCCAGGGGGGGGTCGCGCAACCCTGGGGCGGGGGCGGTAGATCTGAATCCCACCAGCCCTCTGGGCATAGGTGGTTGAACGACCTCTTGCCTTCTCTCTTTCCACAGCCCCTCCATATTCTGCCCCAGGTATGGGTTTACCCCTCCCCTTAACCCCTCCCCTGGGCCTTGGGGGGGGGGGCCGAGAGGTAGAGCGTCCAAGATGGCCGAAGATAGCTCCAAGAGGGCCTCTGAAAGCCTAAGCTGGCCTCCAAGACTTGTCAAGATAGCTCAAAGGGGGTCAAGAGAACCTCCGACACACATCCAAGAGGCCTCAAGAAAGTCCCAAGACGGTCTGAAGTGCCGTTCGAGCTCTCCAAGGACCTCCCCAAGATGCCAAAATAGCTCCAACATCCATGTGTTTTGCGTTCGCGCCTTTTCGCTTCCGATGGGCCTCGGAGGCCTCAAGATGGCCCCAAGACGGCCGCAGAGGGCTTCGAGAAGGACCCAAAGAGGGCCCCCAGGGGGCCCCAAGAGCGCTCCAAGACCCGGTCGAGAGGAACCCAAGACGCAACGCTGGAGCCTCCGAGGGGGAAGACTGACTTTCCTACCCCCCTCTTTGTAAGCCATGGGGGCCAAGACGGCCCCAAGAGCCCTCCCAGACCCCCCAAAGAGCCCCAAGACAGCCCCTAGGACCCGCCAACAAAAAGCCCAGAGAGCCCCGAGTGCCCCGAGAGGCCCCACGGGGACTCCAAGAGAGCCCCAAGAGAACTCCAAGAGGCCTCCCGAAAGATCCTCATGAAGCCGCCGTGTAAGGGGAACATGTGTTAAGTGATTCGACACATGTTCCCGCCGTGTCTGCGACCCCGAAACGCTTCCGAGGCAACCGTGCCACTGCGTGCTTCTACACTGCCCTGTTTCGGGCAACTCCCCTTTACACGGACCGTCAAGAATTTCGTTCGAGAAAGGAGAACGTACCACGGGCGGCGACGAGGCGGCGACGGCGGCCAGACCAACAGCCAGGCCCAACTCCCAGGCGGCAATGAGGCGGCGACGGCGGCAACATACATAGCCGCAAGACCAACAGCCACGCCCAGTTCCGTTGGGCGGCGACGGGGCGGCGACGGGGCGCGATGGCAGCAACATGGCCGCCAGACCAACAGCCAGGTCCAGACGGCGGGCGGCGACGAGGCGGCGACGAGGCGGCGACGGCGGCAACATGGCCGCCAGACCAACAGCCAGGCCCGATTCCTTTGACGACGAGTGAGAAACCCGAAATACAAGCGCAGTTGGGGGAAACATGTACGTTACGAAAGAGACAGAGAGAGACAGACAGAGACAAAAGGATAGAGAGAGAGAGAAATAACAGCACTTATATATATATATATATATATGTATATATACACATACAAATATATGTGTATATATATATATATGTATATACACAAGGCTGCATTGGCGCTTCGCGCCATGTACCTTGGTCCCTGAGGCTGTGCATATGTTGGTCGTTCGCGCCATCCTTAGTGGCCTTGGAATTGTGACCCCTTCCCTGCGGAGGTTTTCAGACGTC